CCCCCCCGACAGACAGCCCCCCCGTGCTCGTCTCCACTGCACCGCTGGGCGCCATGCCATTCCACACAGCTTCTGCCTCCCTAGTACCTCGTGTTGTTCTTGTTGCTTTGTCCGTGGAGCCTCTGATCCTGGGCTTGTGGCATCTTGCCCCACTGGGCACCTTTGCTCGTGTGATCAGGCCTCTACTGGCCCGGGGTTAAAGGTCCCTGCAAGTGTCTCTCACTAGACTCCACCTCTGGCATGTGAGCTGATCCATTCGACACACCCTTGGCTGAAGGATGCCTCTCTCATCTACACTCAGTGGTTCACTGATGGCAAAGCCCTTTGGGATTGCTGGATTTTCCCCTGATTGTGACCCATTTCGCTGTCTGTGTGACGCTCAGAACCTCTAGGGAGCATGTCTTCGATGGAGGTGAACGTGGACATGCTGGAGCAGATGGACTTGATGGATATGTCTGACCAGGAGGCCTTGGACGTCTTCCTGAACTCTGGAGGAGAGGACAACAGCGTGGCTTCACCCATGCTGGGTAAGGCGCAATGAAAGCAATGGGCCTACAGTTCAGAGGGTTAGCTTAGCAGTAATGGAGGGTGACTATAAAGTCATAAAGGTGGAAGAACGGTCATTCCAGCCGCACTGGCCAGAATGCAGGTCACATGACCAACCCAGATTGCTCTGCAGTCACCACAAACCATGCTCATGTTGACCTAAAGCCGAGTCTCCTTTCATTTCGGCCCTTTTCGAAGGGCTGCAAACACACAGAGGAACAGCACAGATGAAAGGACTCTCCGTCCTGGCTTTGTCCTCCATTAATTATCCACTACACCACAAGGACTTAAGGTTGATTGTCTGAAGTCTGAGTCTTGGCCCAGCCGCCCCCCTGCAGGACACTCTGTCCATCTGTGATGTGTCAAGTCCTGCTAGAGAAACCCCTCACGTACAGCTCACACCTTTACAATATTGAAATGGGGGCAGCATGTGGCTTAGTGGGTTAGGATGCTGTGCCTGCGACCGGCAGGTTGCCAGTTCTAATCCCAGCGCTGGCAATGTCACCATTGCGCCCTGGAGCAAGGCCCTTAACCTCAATTGCTCCAAAGTTTGTCTGACCCTGATTTTGCTTAATGCATGTCACTTTGGATAAAGGCACCTGCTGAACAAACCATAAGAAATTAAATGACCCACTGCTCATCAGATTAGCCATTTAACATATGAGTCAATATTTCACACCAACTCCATGTTCCTCTAGGTGGCACTGCAGCAAGCAACACGGCCACACTATATAAACGCGTCACCCTTGCCTTTATTAGCTTCATTAGCCCTTATCTACTGGCCGCCATAACTGAGCCAGTGACCCCCCCCGCCCAGGTCCGGATCTGGAATCCTTCCCGGCGGAGATCACGCTGCAGGTTCCCACACAGGACGAGCTGCGGCACAAGCTGTCCTCCACCTGCACAGGCACGCCGGGCCAGGAGGGCGGGGCACGGAGCGAGGGTGGTACACAAGCCACCTAGAGGCCAACGGAGGATGGGACTGCTTCTGCAGCCAGCGTGAGTGACGCTCACCACACCAACGGGAAATCACTTTTCAGATTGATTGTTTTCTCTAATTTTTCTTTTGTAAAAAGCAAACTGTCTTGTATCTTAACGCTCATTCCTGTGCAGTAAAAATTACCCACCCAGCTTCTACATCATGTACTACAATAAAATGCCTTCTTCTAAGTCCTTCTTTTGTTTGTAATCCACTTATGTACTTATCTAGTCTTGGCTAACCACGCCAAGAGGCAGGTTCTGCTGAAGACCATTTAAATATAGACTCTAGTCTGATAGGGCAGCAACGGGAAGCAGGAGATTGCCTTAGAATAGTGTGGCTGTACAGGCAGAGATAAGTAGGAGCCTGTTTTGGTGTCCAAGATAGATGCCTTTTTAAATTAATCCTGAGTCAGTAAAATAGGAGTAAGCGGTGGGGAGGTCTCTAAAGCAAGCTGACGGCCCGATGGTGGTGCTGACGCGTGGGTTTTTTTTGATAGGAGACTGGTGTTAGGAGGTGGTGTGTGCAGAAGAGCAAAGAGAGGAAAAACAGTCTGGGAATAATTGACAGTGAATCGTCCTTTAGTTTATTAAACCTTAAAAGTACAAACTCGGGGGAAAAAAATTTAAACTGGCAATAAGCAACATGAACATTTGTTTCCCTGTGGGAGGAAGGAGGTGGGGCTAATAAATTAAAGACGTCAGACTGTAAGCAAGTTTTACCGTAGAAAAGGACAACAAAACTAATTCGGAATAAAATACATCGTAAGGCCATAAAAACTTGACAACCACACTGTCTGAAAACACAACTCTGTTTTCATTAAATATCCTAAAACAGCTCAGTCTTCCGTGAAGGACAGCGACCGACAAACAGGGTATAAGATCTTGACAGTCACCACTGGCAAGCTCAGTGCAACATGAGTAGCTACTAAATCGTTGTAATTTTCAGTAATGAAAATGTAAAAACCATTTGTGAATATTTTCCCTTTTCTTTAAAAAAGTAAAGCTAGAAAAACTAAAGGGGGCGCCACTACTCCAGGTCATTTTCTTTTCTTCTCCTTGTGACGTAAGCAGCACTTATTTATGGTACAAGAGCGACCCTGTAAGATGAAGAATCTGAAATGTAAGGCTATTTCTTCATCAACCCCCACCCCCACACCCCAAGAAGGCTCAAGTATTTAAAGAAATTTACAGGACTATGTACAAAAAGAGAGTCTGCTGTTTTTCATTCATCTCACGGCGTTTATAATACATCTGGAAAAGCGGAAAACCCAAAAATGAGGGACAAAAAAAACCAAAAAACTGGGATTCTCGTATTTCACATTTCAGACCTAGTGGCTCTACCTGTGAAGCCCATCAGATCAAAATAAAAATCAAAACATTAAAAATAATATAATTATTAATGCTTACCGGTACGGATGAAACTGTAGGACTAAATGTATGGAATGTTAATAGGATTGCACGTCTAAAGGGGAAGGACCCACACCTTCCTGCTGAACAGAACTAGCACGCAGCACTTCCTGTTTGATGTCTGATATACAGTAATACCCAACAGCACCAAAAAATAAACAGAAAAACCAACACAAGGTGTCCTAATAAAATCAGGCACAGTTTCCACATGCTTGTGGGAGGGCGGCATTTTGCACGTGTCCAGTTGGCCACTCCAGTCTTGCCGGAACCTTCCTGAAGCGCAGAGCCCCACATAAGGCTCCTCTCCCATGACTACCTCCCCCAGCAGGGGGGAGGGGGGATAAATGACAGAAGCACCCAGAAAACAAAGTTGGCACCCCCCACCAAGGAAAGACTGAACCGGAGCAAGACTGCGCTGGTGTGTGTTGTCACCGACCACGTCATTTAAAGGGAGCGGTTTTTTTGTCTGCCAGGTTCATGGGTCAGGATCGGCGTCTGATGGCCGGGGGGGGGAGGGTGAGGCGGGGGGGTGCAGCCACATAAATGTCAATGTAATGCTAGGCTCTTCCACATGAGAAGACCTCATAAAAACAAGGATGACATCAAACTCTAGTGCAAAAACTTCCTCATGGCAGGAAGGAAGTGGGTGACAAGTGGGGTATCGTGGGCAAGGGTTACAACAAATAAAGAACACCACCCTGGGACTTCTTGGCATCTTCACTAGGAACCCGTAGCACTTTTGGCCAGATGGGAGGACGGGAGGCGGGAGCGTGAAACCTCCACCGTCGCTCGCTTCCGCGGGCCGCGCTTGGCAGCCATCTTGCCCGGCACGACCCCGTTACAGTTCTGATGGCCTTTCATTGCCTTGCCGCACACGAGGTCCACCAGGCTGTCGATCTGCTCCTGTCCCAGCCAGGAGGAGAGAGAGTGGGCATTAGAGAGACTCTGCGGCCTTAACGCAGCCGGCACCTAACCGCGTCACATGATGTCGTACCTCGTCGTAGCGATACATCATCTTCAGGCCCCGGCAGGACTTGTGTTTCTCCACATGGTGTGACGCGCACTCCAAGCAGAAGACCACATTCTCGTTCTCCTGGACGACCTGCCGCCACATGCAGATTATCAACGGGGCGGAAATCGACAGAGGGGGATTTGTGGTGCCTTTGCTACGTAATCAGCTCATTGTGGTCGCTAAGCAACCGGATGCGAGTCACTGAGATCGGCGGCGGCTGTGTTGCGGTGATAAGGCTCCGCCTGTGAGGAGGCTCCGCCTGCGATAGCCCAGTAAAGTGTCGTGACACCCTACCCCACCGGGGGGGGGGGGGGGGGGTTAGCCAGCCATCCCGTTTACAGGGTGCTGAGATCAGCAGAAACTGCCCCTTCAGGCTCAGCGACTCCCCCAACAAGCTGCTCTTTAATTTTGCAACTGGCAGTAAATAAAACAGCGTTTCACCCAGAAGTCCAAAGAGGGACCTTGGTTCTCTTATCCCCATCGGCCTAAGCCTATACGTTGAGCTGTACAGACTGATAAAAGATGGAAATTAAATAAAAAATAAAAAAGTGGCATTTTCAGCAAGTATAGGAGTCCGAGTGTGACGGGCTTGGTGTGCACGGCTCCATCTGAACAGGACGGTGGGATTTGGGGGGGGGGGAGGATCAGGCAGGAGTTTAGCAGCATCCTCAGCATATAACAGATGGGAGCGGTGAAGATACAAACACACAAAACCACTTTGCTCTCTAACCAAGCCCGGAAACATCTGGTCTCCCTCTCCCTCACAAACTAACTGAATCGTCCAATTAATGACAGGTGAGTATATGTGCCCTGACCTCACGCACCCCCCTCCGAGGCACTTGCTCTCTACCCCATCTCATAAAGAGCAGAGTGGGATGGGTCAGTCCATCTCATGGCGGGGAGGGGAAGGCTCACCATGGATAGGTAGCAGAGGTGCTGGCATGTCTGGCAGCGGCGCTCCGATGACTCCAGTGCCAACCACTTGCGCTGCTTCTTCCTGGCCTCGCCGGGAGCCTGAGTGCCATCGTGCGAGCCGTAGCGGGCCGAGGAAAGCAGTCCGGCCTCGTACAGCTTCTGCCGCTGGCGCATCTCTATGTCCCTGGGGTGGCCAGAACACGGGGATTACCTTGGAGGATACTGTCCGCGCGCGCCGCTCCGGTCCGACCGCGGCAGGAGCGGGTAGCTTTGAGCCTACCTGAGATCTTTGAGAAGAGTGGCGATTGTGCCCAGAACGTGGCCGTTCTCACGCTTGGACTCGAACATGGCGATTTGGTAGAGCAGCTTCTCCATGGAAAAGGGTTTTGCGATGCGCCGGCATTTCAGGTCCTGCAGGGGGCACCGTGGGGCTTACATCAGGAATGTTCTGGCAGCACAGAGGGGCGGCCATGTCGGCGCACCAGCCCCCCACCCCAGCCAGCTGGGCTGTCATCTTCCCAGCATTCCTGGCTCCCGTTCGGCCATCCGGTCTCCTCTAATTATTATGCTAATTAACAGCCCCCAATCTAGTCCTCAGGGCCCCCAGCCTGACCCAGTTTTTGCCACAGTCCAGCATCTGTATGCCTAAACCAGATAATTAAGGGCTTCAAATTTAAAATTACAATGCCAATTTGCAAATAGTTAAAATTACAATTACAATTGGTAAACGGGGGAGTGTGACTTGATTGCCTGAGGACTCCAGCCTCCTGTCCTGGCTGCAGGGCAGTTTTACTCTGGGGGGTTTAAGCTACAGTGCTCTGTAAAAACTGCCTTGTAACAATTCCCATTATAAGAAGTGCCACGCAAATAAGATCGAACTGAAATAACCTATTTACAGGGATCTGGAAAAATGAAAGGCAGCCATGACAGGCTCACCTTAGCAGCCTCGTATCCCAGGTTCATCCACTGGGGGGTGGCAAAGTGCACGCTTTCGGAGACGCTGTACCCACAGCAGACCCTGCACACAAAGGTTCCCGGGAAAGAGACGACGAACTGGCCACTCTGCTGCACCGTGCGGTGCACCTTGATGCCCTCGCGGGAGAGAACCTCCGGAGAGATCTGAAGGGGGGTGACAGACAGATCAACCATTGGTGCAGCGCTTGGCCTGGTTCACAAAGCCTGATCCATACTGAATATAAACGGAAAACCATGACATTAAACGAAACAAGAACAGAATGAACAAGCGTCCAGGAGATGCGTCTGCTTTAGGTTGCCTGGCTCTCCTTCACAGAGAGCCTGACGTTAAACAGACGGGCTGTGGAGGCATAATTGGTATTAATAAACATTCCTGTTAGCATCTGTCTGGTTTCTGAGGCAATGCCAGGTCTTGCTGGCAGCTCGAGAAGGACCTGCACCTCCTCGTCCTGACAGCTGAGCAGCTGCAGCTAGAAAAGCTGTTGGAAACACTGTGTGTATGTGTGTGTGTGTGGGGGGGGGGGGGGGGGCGTTAGGCTGAACCCCCCCCCCCCCCATTAATGCCCCAGGAGCTGCTGCCCATCTCCTCACCATGATGTTCTTCTCCAGCATCTCCAGCCCAGGGGTGCCGTTGGCCTGCAGCAAGGTGTGCACCACTTTGTCCAGCTTCGCTTTTTCTTCAGCAGGAATACAATACCTGGGGGGGACGACTCTCTCTTAATACCAACCCTTTGCCCACTGGAGAGAGGACAAAATCATGTGGACACACAAAAATCCCCCCTCCCCCCAGACAAGGATACACCCCCTCACTAAGACTGTGACTTCTGACATGGAGCTTCTCAACAGAAATTGGCTTAAATGGATAGACTGAGATGCCCACAGATGGAAACCTCCTTCATTCCGAATGTTGCAACTACACCATTTTGTCATCGTCATGTAGCCAAGACTATGGTGATCAGATATCTGGGATCAAAACAAACTTCCACCATTGCTTACTATGTACTTTTATAATGTGTCTGCAAGTGTTCCAAACTGCATTCTGCAATGTCTATACTTTGATGTCAGATTACAAACTTAACACAATGTCTGACATATTTACAATATACATTAAAATTAAGACGAGTGTAATGCCAAAACAAATATGTAAGAAATAATTTATGTGTCGTGAATTAAGTTTATGATATTGAATGAAATTGTCACTGACTGGGGCTTAGTCACACATGTGTTCCCTACCCCTAGACCCTAGAGAGTAACGGGCTGCTGAGAAGGGAGACAAAAGAGCCTTGGGAGAGCCAGATAAGGGGGGGGGGTTGCTTTGGCCACCTACTGATTTGCCATCATACTTTCGTTTTGTCTCGTACTATTGACCTCTTTGTAAATTGCCTTATTTGATCATTACATTCTAGTTAAGATACTTGGTGTGTCTCCTGTGTGTCCCTTCCGCTCTGAGCCGAGTGGATGTGACATAGGATTACATTAAAAACTGCACTAAACCTCCCAGCATAACCAGTCACTGGTCCACAGTTCAGACATTATCAGCCACTATCCAACCCAAGCTGCTCCCTGCCACACACGTCATTCTATATGCGCTCCGGCAGGCGTGTAGCATTCTGGTTGCATGTTATAAATTAGCATCTATTGATCTAAAGCTGAAATGCGGCGGTGACCTTTACTTTGTGCTGGGGAACGGGGAGGGCGAGGCGACCACCCCCGGGCGGGTAACACTTACCAGATGCAGTCCGCACCCGTGTGTAAGTAATCGATGAATGGAAGGCGGTTCTGGTCGCGAGACCAACATGAGGTAGAAAACACCATGCCGATGTTCAGCCAGGGGACGGTCACCCCTGCGGACAGAGGGGGGGGGGGGGGGGCAGTTGAGTGGAGTTCCAGCAGGAGTAGTTTTGGGCCAGATGGAGGCAGAGAGTGATTTCGGTGCTGCAGACCCAGAGTGAGAAGCTGTCCCTAGGTGGGGGTCCCAGAGCTATGCAGTCCCCCCCCACGGCCCTCTAGGAGAGCAGCACTGGTCCCGCACCATCTACACCATACTTTCACACTCAGTCACCCCCACTACTGGCTGGATCCTCATGCAGTCCCTATGCTCAAAGGGCTAGTAATTATGCTGGGAAAGCCCCCCCCCCCTCCTCCCATTGGCCCCTGGCACATTATGCAGAGCGAGGTTTCAGAATGGGGGGTGGGGTGAGCGGCTAAGAGCCAGTTGTGCACGGCAACCCTTACCAGGCACAGCACCAAGGTAACGCAGGATGGACCCAGAGTTGTGGGGCAGGATTGTGAGGTTCCATCCATGCCTGTGGGGACAGAGGCCAGGTTAGTGAGCTCCGCAGTCAGGCGGCACGCGTGGCGAGGCAGGAGCAGGCCGAGACAGCGGGCGAGAAGAGAAGGCGAGCGGCGCTCCTCACTTGGAGAAGGGCTCCGACTTGGCCACAGGGAAACCACTCCCATGAGTGCTGGTGTCCACCTTCCCGCTGTGGACGGCCACATGGCAGTCCTTCTGCTCCACGATGCGCCAGTACTCTTGCTGTTGGGGGGTTAGAGACAGGGACGCCAAAAGGAAAGGAATCCATTTAGAAGCGTACGGAGACCGGGATGCCGTGCTCCTCTTCGGCTGAGTCACACTGGAGGGTTTAATGGCTTATTAGCAGGCACAGGGCAGAAGGCCGGCGGCGCATGCAGGCGTACCTCCACTTCGGCGGCCGTGGGCTCCTTGTTGAAGCACATGTTCATAGTGTTCCTGGCTGTCCGGTAGAAGGTGGTCAAGGAAACAGAACGGCCCTGGGGGGAGGGGGGGGGCGGAGAAACGAATCAGGGGGCCGTGGGCATGGTCCGGGGAGCGCCGTCGGCGGCCAGTGGCAGCACTGGCACAGCGAGCAGCAGCCAAATGCTACGTTTCACCAGAGTTACACTGTAAATGAATGTGGATCCTGTCTGCCTCTGAAATGAGGACAGTCTGCTGACCAGAAAGCCTGGAGAGATGACTAGATCTTTTCACTGACCTACATTACATCCCTGTCTCTCTGACAGACACCAGAGCAAACACACACATGGAGGGGCCCAGGGGGAACCTCACTGCTTCTCAAAAGAGACCATGGTTCAAGTTTGCAGGCCTTTCTTGTTCTTTGTCATATATATAGATCATACTTGGATGCTTCTGGAGCACAGATCATGGAACTTTCTAGAAACTCACTACTTCTCCAAAGAAAGCACCGTAGTTCAACATGCACGTTTTTATTTTTTTTTTTATTAATAGTCATTCGTGCAGTTCTTGCATGCGTGCCTCTGCGGTGAGAAATGCTTTGTGGGAAGCAGGAGGAACATGGAGTGTGCTCACCTTGTAAATACACTTGTGCTGGTCGCTGAGGATGCCGCGGTCCTCCTGCTCGTCAGCCTTCCTCTCCTGAGCGAACAGCCGGCGCCGGCCCATCTTGAGGGCGTCCACGGCGTCCTTGAGTCGGCCACGAAGGCCATCCTTGTGCACCATGCCGTTGACCAGGCCGTTCTTGGGTTCGTAGCGCGGCAGTGCCAGCGAGCGATGTGCATTCTCTGAGTGGCCCTCCAGGGGCCCCCGCCGACACTCTAGGTTCTCCTTCTCGGCCAGCACCTCCCGCTCCAGCCTCCGGCGCTCCTCGGCTGACAGCGAGTCGTAGGACAGCAGGTACTGGCAGTAGGCCTCCTGCAGTTTAGCCAGCCGGTCCTGGGCGGAGCGCGGCACCCGCAGCAGGTCCGCCAGCTTGCTCCACTTCTTGAGGTCCGTTACCTGCTGCATTCCGCCCATGTCGTTGATGAGCTGAAAGAAGCGGGCCAGGTCCAGCTCGCAGCCCCCTGTGGAAGGAAAAGGGGGACTGAGATCATGCATGTGAAGGCAGGGTGGGGGCAGACTGTCCTGGGGCACGCATTCACCTTCCCAGCTGTGTAAGCGGTGAGAAGACACCGATAAACCACCCCCCCCGCCCCCCCCCAAAGCGTGTATCGAATGACAGAGCAAATCCACGGGATCGTGTGGTGCTGTCTGGATCACATGTCAGTCTTGAAAGGCAGCTTGACCCGAGGGGGCAGCCAAATTTAACGGTTTGGCAAACGCAAGAACCCCTCCCCCCCAAACGGTCCCGTTTCCCCCAGACTCCCCGCTGGGGCCTTTGAAGCCAACACGGAGACACTCCCTGTCCATCACAGACAGTCACGAGCGAATCCATCACTCAGAGTGAGCCAGGAGGGGGTCTGGGCGAAGGGGTGCCGGGGTCGGGGGACACACGTGGACAGAAACACACACACAGACAGAGCAAAACACACACGCATACTCAACAGGCCCTGGATAACTTGTCTACACTACAGTATAGAATCCCTCAGAACAGGGAGGAAAAATGAATTTGCTGTAAGGGGAACCTTGATAAATGCCTAACCCTAATCCTAACCCTAACCCTAACACTGCTGTAGAATATTCATACATCCTGCTCCTTGTCCGATATCTACAGACAGACAGAGACAGACGCAGACAGACAGACACTTCTAAGGAAAATGCTTCCCACTCTCGGATTTCAGCACAGGGCGTTTCCCCACACAGGACACCACCATGGGAGGGAGACGGAGCCCAGACCCGATCCCAGGTGTGCTCGCAGCCCGGCCTTGCGGAAGGTGCCGGCACTCACCGATGAGGGGCGGCTCATCCATGGTTATGCCCTGAGAGCGCAGGTGCTTCCTGATGCAGGCCAGCTGCTGCACGTTGGGGCCCCAGCGCCGGCCCAGCTTGTGCACGTGCTGCACCTGCGTGACGAAGCGCATGTCCTCGTTCAGCTTGCACTCGGGCCGCCACTCGGGCGGGGGGACTATGCGGCAAAGCCCGTAGGGCTCGGCCCGCTCGCGCACCGAGTCCAGGTACGCCAGCGGGTCCTGGAACTCCGTGGAATTGGGTCGCAGCACCAGCACGTCCGTAATGGGGGGGCAGCCGGCCTTGGCACGGGGCTCTGCCTGCTTGTGCTGGGGGCGGGGCGGCTCGTGGGCTGAGGTAGGGGAGCAGTCAGGGGCGGCCTGCTGTTGCGCCAGCCCCACGCTGGAGATCTGCGAGTGCCGGCCGAACATGAGTCGCCCCGCGGTGGAGCGCCTGGGCCGCTGACGTTCCGGGCTGGGCGCGCCCGTCTCCGTGGCGACATGCCCGTTCGGCACTGCCGCCCCGCTGGGCACGGCCGCCTCACCGGGAGCCTCGGGGGCGGGGGCCGGAGGCTTCGGTTTCTTGGATCTCTCCAGAAGCAGCTGGACCGTGGCCCCCGCCGCCGCTAGCCGTCTCTTGGAGTTGCGAAGGCCCTCCCGGCCCTGGGGGGCGCCGTCTTTGGGGAGCAGCTGCCCATTGAGGCGCCCGTTGAGGCGTGCGGCGCCCTCGGTGGCCAGCTTGTGCGCCCCGTTGGACAATAGCACCTGTTTGCGTGTTTTTGCATTGCTACCTTGGGCTTTTCCTGAGTTGGAGTGGGGCAGTCCGTTGCCGGGGTGGTAGTGGTTTCTTGGGGGCGGTCTGTGGAGCGTGGCGTGTTTGCTGTGGTTCAGTCTGGACCTCCTGACCAGCGCCCCCTTGGCTTTGGTGTGCGTGACACGGGCTTTGCTCGTAGCCTGCGTGCACTTCACAGTTTTGGACGGCAGACGGAAGTCCTTTGTTTTTTTGGCACTGGCTGTGTGCGTGACGGCAGGGGCTCCCCGCGTGAGTCCGTTCACCTTGGAAACCTGCCGGGGTGGGAGGGGGAGACGGAAGACAGCGTCAAGGACAACTTCTGCGAAAGCCACCGGGGGCCACCGGGGAGATCCGCCGCAGGGCAAGTATGTGGGGTTAAACTCGGCCTTATGAAACAAGAGGCTGACAGATCAAACTGTGACGAGTACCAAACGTTTAAGGAGCGAAGCCGAGACAGACGGGCAGGGGAGGGGCGAGGGACATTCTGGCTCATCAGTGGTACCAGATGCATCCTTTTAGAAGATCTTGTTCTCCAGCTAAAGCTCCACTGATTTTAACACTTTACAGCCAGTGTCTACCGGCCCAGAACCTGCACACGTGTACGGTATCACAGGGAAGAGGCCACCGTTTAAAGGGACGTCAGCGATTTTTACTTATGAAGTATGAAAAACAAAGCGTTCACCATCAGTCAAGTAACAGCTCGCTCTCAGGAACACTCCCAACTCAGTCTCCGTCGCAAAAAAAAAAGATGTTTTCATTTTATGTTAGTAATGCCAGATGTTCTGCAAAACACAAAATATGGTTTATATAACGGAATCACATCCCAGAGCATAAAATAATTATACTGGCTTTGGTTTGCTTAAGCTCTGTAATTTAGCTTTCATGTAGGAAAGAAAAGGCTCTTCCACTGAGCGGCCTGAGTGAACCAGGCTGTCATTCTCCGTCTGCCTTTGCGCCCCCAGCGGACACCGTTGCTTTTAATGCGATGGACGCACACTGGAACGCCACCTTACCTCACACGCCCTCCCAACACAGAGGTGAATGTCGCACCAGGGAGGTGTCAAAATGGGGGCAGCCAACAAAGAGACAAGATGGTAACATGACGCCTGTCGTCACGCTGCCTCCCAGTGGGCGAGGCGGGATGGGCGCTCGGCCCCGCACGGCACATTAATCATCCCACCCAGCAGGTGAGGCCCCAGACACAGCGAGCGGCCTGGCAGTGAGGAGTCCAGCTAAACCTGATTTGCCCCCCCCCCCCAGCACAAGGTATTAGGGGGCCTCGACTGTCACTCAACCTCCTGCTAGCTCCTCCTCGTCCTCATCCAAGCTCCCCCTACCCTTCCATGACATCACTGTACCTGGCTAATGATGAAATAGATTATTGCGACTTGTGGTCCAGTCAGGACAAGGTACCTTTTCGGGGAGATGCCTTTATTTGGGGCAGTTTGGGGTACCTCTATGACAAGAAGCTGGTTTGATACAATTCTAACAATGAACAACTCAGTACAGCCACACATTCCACAGAATGGTGTCCTACAGAGAATGTGGTCAGGACTGTAATTTATACATTTCAACAATTTAAGAATTAAAAAAACTCATTTTTAAATCACTTTACTTTGTGGCAAGTCCGTAAGGACAATAAACAATGCTTTCGTTTAGATTTTTCACCATATATTACGAACTTCAAGTTTTAAAGGAAATTACTCTGTTTCACCAGTAGAGGGCTCACTCACACTACCTCATAAACCTCCTGAGAATTCATGCACGTGAGCCCAGCCTCGCAGCACGATCGCGGAGCCGGCAAACAAATAAATAAAAATTTCAAAAAACAAGAAAAACACAGCTGGGGGTGACGCCGACCTAAACATGCGAGCATCGCCACACGGTAATTCCCAGCAAAGCACGCTGTGTGTGTGTGTGTGTGTGTGTGTGGACAGGCTGGCGATCACTCCCAACCAGATCACACGTCCCCTGAAGAAAGGGGGAGAAACCAAAAGAAAAACAAGCACTGTAGTGTGCTGCACGTGAGCACCGGGGGGGGGGGGGGGGTGGGGTGATGTCATATGTTGCTATGGGCAGCTGCGGGACGGCTGCGCACTAACGTGAAACACGTGCGGCACAGATCCCTGAGCAAGCAGGAGGGAAACGACTCGAGTGCCGTACGGCTCAGCGAAAAAAGCCCCCAGCACGGCGCACCACACTGGCCTCGGCCCTGGGGGGCATCACCATCACCTCTTCCTAAGCGCCCAAACGCGCGTCAGGTCCTCTGGTGATCAGCAATCATCCCTCGCACCAGGCTCTCTCCCGAACGCTCACAGGCCAGCTGCAGGGTTAGTACCCCGTTAAAGACGTTTAGAGGAGAAGAAGAAGGCGGCGGCGGCTACGGTGCCAACAGGAGCCTGCAGATCACCATCAGAGCCAAGTGGGCCCTTCTGATCCCAAGCAGATGCTGTCGGGGTGGGGGGGGGGCACACACTGTAAACCAGCACACGCTCGTGCACAATCACACACTATAACCCGGCACACAATTATGTTTGCTCACACTCTGCAAAGTGGCACACGCAAACACGTGCTCACACGTTTGGGGGGGGTGTGAGGTCTCAGAGGGGTGTACCTGCTTGCGGAGCTCTTCGGCCGCGCGCTTGTATGGGACGCTGCCGGCGGAGGGCCCCCTGGCTGGGGCTCCAGCGTGTGGGAGGGGCTGTTCCCTGCGGCTGTCTGGCCGCTCGCCGCGCTCCTTCGCCGGCGTCGCCTCCCGGCCCTTCAGCTTGCCGGCACCCTCTCTGTCCCGCGACGCCTTGCTGTAGCCGTTGAAGACTGAAGGAGAGGAGGAAATGGAGAATCAATGGCACAAATAGCCTTTCGATGCCCCCCGTCAGCCCCGGAGGAACCAGGACATAAAGTGCACGGCGTGACATGCCCCCCACCCCCCGGCCCCGGTGTGCCATCACACCTTTTCGGGGAGAACGCCTTCACCACCAGCACTGACAATGAGCTTTCGCAGACGTGTCTGCACACAGCCCAGCAAAACAGAATCTGCATACATTTCTTGTCACACTGCTTACACACCCCCTCCGGGGCACAGCTCTGACCCCCCCC